GGGGGGGGGTGCGGCCCGGCGGCCGGGGTCGGCCCGGCTGCCCCGGCGCACCCCGAGGCCCTGGCCCTGGGCAGGTGGGGCCTGGGGCTGCTGTGCCGGGCCGGGGCTGCTGGCCCCGGGCAGCGGGGAGCCGCGTGTTTGGAGGGAGTAGCTGCCGGCTGCTATGCTGCAGAGGCAGACTGCGCTTTGCGCAGGGGCTCTAAGCTCCTGCCTCCAACCTGCTCTCCAGGCTTGGGGAGATCCTTAGAGATGGGCTGCTCCGAGATCTGTGACCCCCCCAAGGATCTGCAGGTGACTTCGTGGATGAACTTACGTTTTGTGTGCATCTCTATTTCACTTAGTTTCCCTAGATCCTGCTGCTACTTCACAGTCCCTGGTTACTGAGCTCACGTAAAGCCACCCTCCAGCCTGAACCTGCCCCTAGGCCTTTAGCAACTACTGGACTGGCACGCCGTCTTTTTTTACAGTGAGCAGCAAGCTGACTCCTCTTAAATTCAGCTCCTGTTGTGTATTAACAGGCTCTCGTAGGCACTCATCGTGCCCAGCCAGTGGCGTGTGGAAACATTACCTTGCTGCGTTGGTGTTTCTGACATTAATGAACCTAATTACAAACCAGCAGAGAGGAGTATGGTTCTTAAAGCTCCATTTCTGACACATACAGAAAACTTTGACACAAAAGATACAGTGAAACTATACGTTGATGTTGCTGACTCCTGTATCTTACTGCTCTGGCTGACTGACAGGGATGCAGAGAAAAAAAGTGATTTGTAATCAACAGAAATTGCTAGTTAGCAGTAGGGACAAATGTCTGTGCAGAATTCATAGCAAAACATAAATGCCATCTCTTGTATAGATGCAAATGAAAGGAATCTTTGTCTTTTTCAACTCTACCTAATACTAGTATATTCAATGTTACATTAAAAGCAGTTTAAAGTGATTTTATTTTTTTTGCCACATGTCAGTCATCAGGTGATCTGTAATTCTTACCAGGACTACTTCTGTGCATATACTCTCTCCAATAAGGCATGTGTTGGTCCCTCTGTGTCTTCATTTTTCATCTCTTAATAACAGAATGGTTCTTCTACAACACATTCTTATGATATATTTTATTCTCTTAGCTGACTGCTGTTTCTTATTCAGTCCCTGGAAAGAAGCTTGCTCCAAGTGATGATCTACAAGACCTTGGCTGCTTAGCCCATGCACCTGATCAGCTAACTATTAGAGACTGCACCTGTACATATGTTGCTGAGAGCTGATAGTTTCCACAAGGCATTTCAGCTTGGCTGTCTGTGGTGCTGCATGAGTTAGAATTGCATTCCCTAGATTTGATAAAGCCATTGCGATTGTGTGCAGTTTCAGTGGCTTGGACTAATATAACTGGCCTTGGACTGTGGCGTAGCATTCTGGAAGAGGCAGGGGATGTTATTTAGATTGTAACTGTTTTTCCTCAGAGAAGTAATTTGTTTGGGTTGCTATACTGAATGGTTGTATTGCACAGCAGAGTTATAGCAAATGCATTGGAATAAGAAAAGAATGAGTAAGAAAGCATTTCTGGCCGTCTTATTTTGATTTTGTTTTTAAATGACAGATGCTTTCTTTACCTATCAAAAGAATGTGCTTCTGGCGAAGAGCCCGTCCACCCAGATAGAAGGTGTCTTTGCTGCAACCACAGGAAGATCGGTCCCAGAAGAGGAAGAAGCCCTTCTCCAGCAGTGGCTGGAGGAAGGAGCAAGGAGTTTGCCAGCCAGTGAGAGTGTTCCAGCAGTGAGGAAAGCATCAGTTACACTTACTAGTGACTGGTTAGAAGGTTCAGAGCTATTGATGACCAGCCTCAGTGACCTGAATACGTCTCCGGAAGTCACCTGGTGTGCTGACCAGCAGCACTCAGAGCTAAACGCCTTGGCTTCTTCAGAACTGCAAGATCATGCTGAACTGGCAAGATTACCAGCAGAGGAAACAGTGACTGTAGCAGGCAGTGCCCCTTGGGCAGCTGTAGTGCCACAGACAGATCACCAGGCAGCTGGCTGTGCTGGTATCAACGTGGAAGTGCTGAATGATGACCCAGCTGTGCTGGCCTGGAGTTTAGCATGTGATGCAGAGACAGTGCCACCAGTGCTGCCAGCCCAGCCCATTCAGGATACAGTGCCATTTTATCCTGTCCCAACAGAGGTGCCCTACCATGGTCAGTGATGCCTCTGAATCTAATGTTTAGTTTGGGATTAGCATTTGTAGTGAATGTGGTCAGGTTATTACGTCTGGGCTTGCTGTCAGTAAGACATTGATTGTCCCTGCAGAATTGACAGGATCTGCTAGTGGAAACTGTGAAGTGAGTCTTTGCTGAGGAGGGGCTGGTCACATCTAGTGGTTTCTGTGTTGTTAGACTGCGTGGTCTGAATATCAATATATGTTCAATATATGTAATATATGTTCAAACTGTTCTCAAATGCTGTCTTTGTACTCTAAAAAGCACCAAAAAGTGGGTCTGGTGTTTCAGTATGCTTGATTCTGGTCGTGTGTTATGCCATCCCTACAGACAACTATCCAAAGATATCCAGAAAGAGCACCTGAAAACCAGAGTGGGTGAGGGTTTGCTCAGAGGCTAGAGTGCCCTAGCTTAGGAAATGAGAATGGCTCTTTCCTGGGTCCCAGGGGAACCAAAGTATCAGCAAGGTACCCAGTGTGGCTATAACTTTGTTTTTTGTCTCTTGCATACAGAGATCTTATGGAGAGACTGGGAGGATCTTTCTGTCCAGCCCTCTGTCTTAGAGCAGGTCTCAAAAAACACTCCTCTCTTTGAATTTCGAGTCATGTCATACAACATCCTTGCCCAGGACCTGGTGGAGCAGGGCCTTGATCTCTATGTACACTGTCATCCAGACATCCTGAACTGGAACTACCGCCTTCCAAATCTTTTGCAGGAGATCCAGCATTGGGATCCTGATGTAAGTATGACTGAGCCATCCCTACCTCAGTGCCACCAGAATTTGAATTCCTTGTTTGATCTAACAGTATTAAGAAAAGAAAAAGATGGGGGCAAGTTCTAGGAAGATACTACCTGTTTGGTAACTGGACACTGATTGCTCTGAGAGCGTTTGAGGACTTTCACAGACCATGTTTTTGGTGTCTGTCTTGGTTTGATTGTAGAAACTAGTCATACTTCGATAGCAGGACTTAACTTCTATAAACAACAAAAGTAGAGGAAGAAAGACCAGTTTTCTAAGGCAGCACAGGAGGGGAAGCCTGCATGGAAGAGCACTCCATGAATTTTTCTATTCCTTGAGTCCTCTTTGTGGGATGAAGGATCTTTTATCTCATAACTGGAAAATTGAATGATATGCTAATGTGACCCAGAAAGTTAGTGCATTTCATCTGGAAAGTACAGGACAGGGTTGCAGTGATGGCATTTCTGCTTGGAGGGTTGGTATGTGAGTGTACTTTTCCACTTTCTTCCTTCCCCAAAACAAGGTAACTAGCAAATACATGTGGAGCAAGTGAGATCTCTGCCTTCCTTCCAGATTCTGTGTCTCCAGGAGGTGCAAGAGAACCATTACTGGGAGCAACTGGAACCAACATTCAAGGAGATGGGTATGTCCTGCTTTTGTGGGTCTGTACGTCCAGCTTGTGGGACTGGCCAAGCAGTGCTTCCTGCTTAACATCTCCAAAGCATTCAGTTTCAATAAGCCTCTTCCTGTTTGCCAGGTGGCTGCTGGCCCTACTTCAGAACTATCTGCCTAGATCTTTATCCTTTCTTTTGCAATTGATGTCTCTGAGTTGAAAGATCAGAGTAACAAAACAGGGGGCCCTAGAAGGACAACGAGAGAGAAAATGTCCCCAATTAATAATAAAGAGTGATTATTGGAACAGAATTGGGTATATTGCTGTATCCAGTGCTGTAGTAGGAACCTTTTCTATACAGACTTGGACTGGATAAACCTTTTAATAGGTGATGGTTTCTTTTCAGGCTTTGCATGCTTCTATAAACGGAGAACTGGGACAAAGACAGATGGATGTGCAGTGTGCTACAAGCACAGCAGGTTCCAGCTGATCAGCCTCAGCCCCATAGAATACTTCCGGCCTGGCCTGGACGTCCTCAACCGGGATAATGTGGGCTTGGTGCTGCTGCTACAACCTGTGCTTCCAGAGGGTCTAGGTCTGAAGGCAGTCAGTCCTTTGTGTGTGGCCAACACTCATGTGTTGTTCAATCCCCGTCGAGGAGATATCAAACTGGCCCAGGTGGCCTTGCTGCTAGCAGAGATTGACAAAATTGCAAGAACTACTGAAGGCAGCTACTATCCTGTCATCTTGTGTGGAGACCTGAACTCTGTACCTGATTCTCCACTCTACAAATTCATCCGGAATGGTGAACTCTCCTACCATGGGATGCCAGCCTGGAAGGTAGTTCCCAGCCAGAATTGGGATTGGATAGCTCTTTATTGTATGCTGCTAGAGAAATGCATGGCTACATTCTTTCTCTTGTGAGGAAATAATAACTCAGTCTTAATACTGAGTTAAGTTATTCAACAGTCTTCCCCAGTTTCTCCAGCACTGCAGGGGAAAGAAGTAGAGAAGTGTGTGCATGCTGTTTCCACCACTGCTCTTTTGGTTTCTCTTGAGGCAGACTTGTGATAATGGACCACTTCATTTCAAGTCTTTTTTTCCTTTCCTATGGAGTTTTTGTGCCTGTGTGACTGGAAGTGTAGAGAAATGCAACTCTACCAAGACTTACTGAAATTTTATGTGGACGTTTGTTCTAACAAAAGTTTGCAGTGGGTACTTATGCTGGAATCTCTTGTGGTTGTTTTACTGTGTGTCTGTGATCAAATATATGGTTGTCATTCAGGCTTAATCATCACTTCAAAAGATACCTGTAAAGTATCTTGGCAGGTGACTTTTAGCTAATTGTATCTGTCCCCTCCACCTGAAGGTTTATTATACCTGCACCATACTCTGAATAGCTTAGTTCATGCCTTTCTGTGAGGGTATTCTCCTGTCTTGCTCTTGGCAAGTGTATTTATGTATATTGTCTATAGCTTGAACATCCACTCTGTGTCATTGATGGTTGCTCTCCTTTTCTGGCCGACTTGCAGGTGTCTGGTCAGGAAGACTTTTCCCAACAATTGTATTCACGGAAACTGCTGGCCCCACTGTGGCCAAGTTCACTGGGTATAACAGACAAGTGCCAGTATGTCACCCTGTGCCAGCCAAAGAAACTTGGTGAGCTCCAGTATGCACTGACAATACGAGTTTGCTGAGGATGGGCAGTTTGTGGGGCTTGCTGTCTCTCTGAGTAGCTGCATGAGGCACTTGACAAAGATTCTCTCCTTCTACTTTATATATGAATTAAATACAGTTTTTTCCAGAACCTATTGCATATCTGCCATTTTCTTTCTCTAGTCAGGAGCTGAGTGTTATCAGTAACAATTACTCTATGTGTCTCTTTCATATTCCCAGACTTATGCTTTTGTGCAGTTGTAAACTATGGTCAACAGGCACAGCTTTCATCTCCAGGTGTTTGGGGTGTGGTTTTGGATAGTATTTGCAAACCACTGTAAATAAATCGTTCCTAAGACCCAGTTACAATCATGTCTGTTCTCTGCATCCATAGAGAGGATTAAAAAAATGGAGCCCAGACAAAATAGCTTTTGTTAAAATATTGAATGTAGAACTTGTATTCAGCCTGATCTCCAGAAATGTTTTTCTCAGCAGACATTTCGTAGAGTTGCATGCTAACTGATTTGCTTGAAAGTCCCTTGAACTTGGTTTCTTGAACTTGGTCTCTCAGAGGGGATATTCTTACTTTGTGCTGACCATGACTGTTGCATTTGAGGGATAACAATAGCTATGCTCTGTTCTTCTACTTTTACACATCTGTTCTGTTCTACATGTAGGTTATTAGGTGATTTCTATTCTCATGATGTCAGAGTACTTGGGCACAAAAGCCTCTCTCAAACTAAAGAGCTCTTAGAGGCCCAAAGGTCTAAAATATATATAGGTGTTCCCTGGAGATGTGACTTTGCAGCAGTTGCTTTCTTTCTACTTTCTTTTGATTTGTACTTTTCTCTGCAGGGAGACGTGAATACAGCCGTGACTTCCTGCTCCAGTTCCGTTTTTGCGACATTGCCTGTGAACGACCGCCACAGCTGGTCCTCTTGGAAGGTGTGACAGATGCTAAACCAGGTATTAACAGGAGACTTTTCAACTTGTCACTCTCCTACATGAGAGCCTCTCCTCTGAGGACAGTCTGAGAGAGCTTGGACTGGAGAAGAGAAGGCTCAACTGAGGCCTCATTGTGGCTTTCCAGTACTTAAAGGGGGCTTATAAAAAAAGAGGGAGAGTGACTGTTTACACAGGCCTATAGTGATGAGACAAGGGGAAATGGTTTTAAGCTTCCTGAAATTCTTTACATGGAGAATAGTAAGGCATTGAGCCAGCTTGCCCAGAGATGTTGTGGATGCCACATCCCTGGAAAATGTTCAAGGCCAGGTTGTATGGGGCCCTGGAAAGCCTGATATGGTGGGTGACATCCTTGCCCATGGGATGGAGGGATGGAACTAGATGATCTTTAAGGTCCCTTACAATCCAGGCAGTTCTATAACTTTATGATTCTTTGATTTCAAGGAAAACATGAGATGGAGGTAATGCCTGGTGAGGAAAGGGAAAGGCAGAAGGGTGCTTTCTGTGACTGTGGTTAGATTCCATGAGAGCTCAGAGAAGTATGCTTTCCTCCCTCATACACACTGACTGTGTTTCTTGAGATGCACTGAGATTCAGCCTCTTGAAGCTGTGTCTTACAAACTTCTTTTAAGCTGAAACACATATGTATATTTCTTTTTTCTGCTTCAAGCTTTTGGTGGTGGAGAACAACCTGAAGACTGTAATGATACACAATATAGATGTCTCTGGAAGCCAGTGCCCAGCAGATATTGCTGCACCTCTGGGCCTTGTGTCATGGCTGATTCTGCTTTCTCCATTTCTGTTCTGCCTTTCTAGATACCCTTTGAGTAAGCTGTAGGCTAAGACAAGCAAACTTTCTTTGAGATAAATGTTGAAATACCCTGGACTTTGATAATATTAAATGCTTTAAGGACATGTTTTGAGTAGGACAGAATATGACCTCTCAGTTTCTTGCACTGATCTGTTCTAACGATGTTCCTGTTAGTCTTACAGCTTGTGTTTCCTTTGGATATTTTCCTTTAAGATGTTTTTGACTGGAATCTATCTGCACTTCTTGGGCAAAAAGGTTCATTTGGTTTCAGGAGAAGCTTCTCAGACTTGGGATGAGCAGTCTGTTCTGGGATCTGTGTAGGTCTGGCTGGAATTTCTTTGCTCCTTTGCAGACTGCCCTGCACACTGGCCCAAGCCTGCTGCCATGGTGAAAGACCCTGATCCCCAGCCATTCATCCCAAGGTAACTTGGTTCACCTTCAATGGCCCCAGTCTTCAAGCTCAGCCTTGGTTTCTGGAGCACTGAAAAACTGGCTGGAGTAAAGACTGAAGTAAATGTGAAATAGAGTAAGGAGGGCTATGTTCAAGAGCTAGATCCACCCAGGACTGTCCCAGCAGCTGGGTGTTTCTCTGTCAGCATTGTGTTGGTGAGAATGAAGGGCATAGGCATGTACAGGACTGGGTATTGAGGACAAAGGAAATTCACAGTTTGTCTTGCTTCAGTGTAAGTGGAGCTTTGAAAGATTTTATGTGCTTACAAAGTAGGGATAGTTTAGACAGTTGCATCAGCAAGGGAACATTCAGCTGTGACTGCGGTATTGAAAAGGCATAATTCTCTTTCCTTCCTTGGTAAACAGTGAGTGTTTTTGTGCAGGTGTTCAGGTGTTATCCAGCATGGCCTCAACCTGACCTCTGTCTACAGCCACTTCTTGCCACAGAGGGGACGCCCGGAGGTCACAACAATGCCCATGGGCCTTGGAGCCACCGTTGATTACATTTTCTACTCAGCAGAGCCTGTGGAGAACAAGGCGGGTGAGTGAGGCAGTGCAGGGCTTATCCCTGTGGCCTTGGAAGAGGACTGTGAAACAGGCCAGATGGGCAGTGCATTTCATTAAGCTGCTGGATCTACAGGATGTGTCTTTGAAATAATACCCCAGGTAGAAGTAACATTTGCTCATGTATCATGAGAAGACACTGTTTTTCTTTGCTGTGGAAAAAATGAGGCTCCTTAGGTTCATGTAGACTTTTGAGGAAGCTAGAACAGAATGGATTCTTCTGTATAAATATCTTACTTGGGCTCCTGGTAGCAGGCAGTGCTTGGTCCTGAGTTCAAGGCTTGAACTTCTGGTCTGTCTGAGATCACAAGCTGTTCTTGGAAGGAGGTGACTCTGGTTCCTTTACAGTGGCATCTTCTCTCTGCTGCCTGAAACATGAGTTCTGTTGATGAAAGACTGGATGTAAATGCATCCAGGAACTCTCTTGGAGCTGATTTGGGACATGTCAGAATCAATTTTGGGGAACAGGAATGAAGAGATTAATTCCTTCTCAGGGGAGAATCTTAAGCTATTGCTAGGCCACAGTCCATGAAAGGAACTTCTCATGTAAGCAACTATCTGGTGAATTTAGTGCATTTTTGCCTCCTATTTCTGCAAGTATATGAAACAACAAACAGCAGTATTGTAGTATGCTCACTGCTTTCACATAGGCTCAAAGGTGCATGTAGTGTTTGTGCAGGCTGTCTTCATTCAACAGGGGAAGAACAGGAAAGGATTGACATTCATCCCTCTGTGAGTGTGTAGAGTTAATCTGCAGTGCCAGTCTTTGGTTGATGTTTCTTTCCATTTTCTTTGTCAGGTCGCAGGCTGTATAAAGATGGAGCCCTGAAGCTGCTTGGCCGACTTTCTCTTCTCTCTGAAGATGTCCTCTTGATGGCAAATGGCTTACCAAATCCTTTTTGTTCATCTGATCATCTCTGCCTGCTGGCTAGCTTTGGCTTGGAGATCTCCAGCCTCAGAGAGAGTTAGTGCTGGTTTCCTTTCCCTAAAGAAAAGCTGTTCTGAGTATAGCAGTTGAGACTCTGGATTGCACAACCTGCTTGCAAGAAAACCCTTTTCCTTGTCATGCCCTAAAAGTCCTTTTCTCCCCTCACACCCTCACTAAAAGTAGGGATGGGAGAGATGGAGCTCTTTTTGGATTGGTATTTTCTGTGTCTCTGCAAACCTGAGCTGTGTTCCTAGTGGGCTGTCAGATGTATTCAGGCATTAGCATCTCTTAAAGGGATCCTTGTTCCACTGCCTTGTTTAGCAGGTGTTTTTGTGCTGCAGGAACCAACACAACTCCCATGTGTATTTGTCCCTATGTGAAATTTTCAAGGACTGGAAAAGAGAGGGGCAATGCTGTCTACTTTTGGTTAGTATAGTTGCTACCAAGGAGCATGGGATGTATATGCCAATACTCTTTCACACCAAAACAATAGGTCTCTTAATTTCTCAGTAATAGTTTAGTACTTTCAGGGCTAGTTGTTGTGTTGCATTTTAGATTGGATCTGCTAACTGATTAGAAATGTCTTTTACTTAATGATCTGTAAGGGCTGACTTGCTGACAGAAGGGTTTGTGTGGTGTAACAGTTTCTACAAGAAACTGCTTGCTGTGACTACTGGACCAGAGAATGGGATTGCCAGGAATGGAACCAGTGGTTCTACAGAGCCACCCACAGCAGCTCAAGAACTGCAGCAAAAGCCTAGAGGCTTTGGGGAAGGTTTCCTTCCTTTATAGCAGTCTCAGAATGGCACCTGATTTGTCGTTTTTAGCAAAAATATTTAGAATCATCCCACTGAGTATCCTATGGAAAATTTTATGCTATAAGGCATGACAACTCCAGAAGGCTATAACTCTGGTTGTCCCAAAAAAGAGATGAAAATGGAAGGCATGTGAGAGTCAGAAGGCCATTAGATGGAAGAGCTGTTCTTGTCACTTGCCCTGTTCTGTTCTCCGTGCACTCCCTATTGCATTCCGCCTGCCAGGGTCAATAGCTAACCTGTAGCATCCATCTCCTGCGCCAGACTGAAGTCCAAGGTGCATCCTTCTTCTGGACCCAGCCATGTTTAGGTGTAGTCAGAACCTTTAGGATCAACTCCTGTCTCTTGATATGTATTGGGAGGAAGGGGAAGGTTGTGTAAGTTGGACCCAGACTGCAGTCACTTGGATCCCAGCGTACCTTTGGTGACCTATTGGTGTGATTTTGTAAGCAGTGGCTTGGCCAGTACCAAAGCAGTCGAGCTGTACCTCTTCCTAGAGTAAATTCCCCAGTTCAGCCTGACATTTGGTGCTTGGTTTATCCCTAAGAGATGAAACCAGTATTGGCAGAAACATTATCAATCTTCTGTTCACAAACAAGGCAGGAAATCCGGTCACACCTCAGGTTTATTCTGGAGGGTAAGGAGACCTGAAACATTGTTTATTCTTCATGGTCTATATTGAGGGACTTTGATATTTTAAATGTTACTTTCTTAATTGAAAAATAAAATACTGCTAATCCAAGAAAATACCACAAAGTAACTGTGACACCTTGTATTTCTGGCAGCTGAACTTCTGAAGGCTTGTTCAACAGGGTTTTGCTGGCTGCAAGGTGAAAGAGGGCAAATTAGCTACACAAGAAAGTAATGAGAGTTGAAGTGAGGGAAGAAGTGCACCTAATTTAATCTTCCAAAACATCCCTAAATCCCAGAGGTGGCTTCTTTGGCGTTGGGTTTGTCCTGCCCCCTTAATCCTGCTGTCCGCTCCCCCCCCCTCCCCCCCCACCTCAAGAAAGATTTGTATTCAGGAACCCTTGCCCTCCTCTCTAAGAAGGAAATACTGCTGATTTTTTACAGCTTACTTCCATAAACTACAAAAACAAGGTGTGTGTATGGGGTGGGGGGGTGGGGGGGTTGTGTTCTGTACCTTTATGAGCATATGAGGACTGCATATTCCCTTCTTATCCTGCCAGATGGTGTGGTATTTGTCTGGTGATGTGTGGATGGCTGTTGCTACCATCTGTGAGTTTCTGTAAGTGAACAGCAGTCTTGAGGGGGTGTGAATAATTTTGCCCTTAGGTAATAGTTCTGGGATGGCACTGGAACATGGGGAGGGATGGGTGTAGAGGTGTGCATTTATATGTCTATGTTTATCTCACAGTTTGACTGATTTCTGCAAGTACTCTTACTCTGATTTTGTAAGTGTATTTATAAAGGGAGGGAAGGAAAGAGATAGAGAGCTTTGCTTTCTATCTGGCTCAAAAAGAGGTTGCCAGAAGGCAGCCTGGTTGCAGATGACTCCTTCCTGCTGTTAACTTTGTAATAGGAACTTTAGAAGACAGTAAAGGTTTAACAACAACCAACCAAAAGCACCACAAAAAATTCTGTGACACATGGTGTTGGCACTTAGAACTTTAGCTATCTGCTTCTATTGTAATTACTAGCTGCGTCTGAGGTCAGTTGGTGAGGAGGTGTGTATATATGTGTGAGTGTGCATATGTGTGAATGAAAGCTACCCATAAGAGAGCCAGACTGAGCTCTCTTGAGACCCCTAAGGTGTGCACAATAGCCCAGCAGATGAACTGGTTGACCCTGCACTGCCTGAAGCACCCTGCCAGTCCTGTGATGTAACTCAGGTGGAGGACCTGTGTTCCAGTATCACAAGTGCTTTTTCATTTTATGTAAACCAAAACCTTGACTTGTGGGGAAATTGTGTGGAAGTATCTTGGGGAGGTTTTAAGGTTCCAGCTATACTTTGCTGGAAAATCTAATGTTGCACAGGTCAAACTAATGCTTTCCCTTTCCATGCATGAAATAACATAGTATGGACTTGGAACTGTTAAATTTTTGAACACTGGATATGGAGCCACATGCAGAGAAACCCCAGAACAATGCCTACAAGTCCCCTTATTCTTTTTGGAGGTTATAGTGCTCCCAGGGTGACTTGCAGCTCTCAAAGCCCTGGCCTACACATGCTTTGTTGGGCACTGATAGGTGAAACTGGTAGAAATGCGGGACCATTGCTAGGGACTGCATAGAAACAGAGTTGAAGACTTGACCTCTGTGTTTATTTTGACCACTGTCCCAGAAGCTCTGGTATGGACTCTTATGAAGGCGGTCTTTTTCAGGAAAATAAAAACCCCTGTGTTCTAGAGCAATTTGGAGTTAATATCTAATGGATCTGGTGACCTGTGAATGCCTCTTGACTGTGTGGGATTATAGGAGAGGTTTGCAGGTTGGGTGGGTAGAAAGTTCCTAACCATAAAATCGCAACTAGCATATAGTTGTTGGGAGAAAACAATGTGTTCTGTGATGCTTTAAGAATAGCACACAATCAGAGCTTGTGATAATGAGCTTTGTAATGGGATGCAGAACTCAGATTCCAGATGTTGCTCTTAGAACTGTTTCTGGACATAAATGCACGATGAGTTGTCATTAACACAGCTTTCTGATGAATTACAGGGGGGTCTGTAATAGTTATGAAAGTAGAACAGCTGTATCTCTCTAATGCTCAGAAAGGGAAGGTGTCACAGAGGTAATTACCAGGAATATCACCTTAGTAGTGATGTAAAGTTCAGGGAGACTGGTGCTTAGGGGAGGTGATGCCAGAGACCACTGGCAGTGTGTGTATGTTCCCTGTTAGGAGTCTCCTAAGCTGCAGGAGCATGCAGCTGTAGAGAGGCAGTCAAGTATTCGACAAATTATCTTTGCTAAAAAACAGCTTAGTTTGCACCACAGCTGCAAAGCAGTATTTAGTTATGGTATTTAGATAGAAATTGGACTTCCTTCATTTTCTCAGTTTTATGTTCATTGCTTCAGGAGGTTGCCCTTCATAATCAGTTTTCCCAATTACATGGGATGGGAGGAGTGGTAAACAATATAATTGCTCTAGCTTCTTTCCTGTTCTTAATAAATGAAACTTGGCTGCTGCTTGAAGTCTTCTTTCTCCACGCCTTTTTCTTATGAGCTATCTCTCCAGCAGCTGTTTTCCCATGACTGCTCTATCCAGTTATCTTTCTGAGTTACTGATGTTTATTTTTTTCTGCAGATGTATTTCTTCAGTTAGAAGTTATGGGTGCAATTCTCTAGGGCTAAATTTTATAATAAATGCAATATTTAAAAGGTGTCAGGATGTAAGATAGTGGGTTTCCTCATCCTTGAAGAATTAAGTGGGAGGAGTGGGAGCTCTGAAATGAACACTTAGATGGGAATAACACTTGTTTATATAAAACAAAAAAAATGAGTTTCAGATTTCTTCTTAGTGCTCTGTACGCCACCTGCTTTGTGAAGGCAGAAATCTGAAATATACTTGACCTTAGTTTTTCTTCTCTGAGGAGTCTCCAAGAGGTCGTAAGAAGTTCAGCATCTCAGCAGATCAAGGTACGAGTCCTACTCTTAATGATGTGTTGATGGTGTTGGCGAACAGTCTGCAAAGCAGGGTGCTGCTCCAGTCCAATATCTGAACCCATTGCCACCATCTCAGTATTGAACATTTATTGGATGTACTGTTAAGAAATGTGCACACATATACATGGGTCATCCAAATGCAGAGGAACCCTTTTGTTGCTTACCTAAAGGGGGAGCAGACGAGCGTTAGTGGGATACCATCTCCTTTCAGGCTTCCTGTTGTGCAGACTAATGGAATTGCTGGCTGTTACCTGCTTCTTGCCAGACTGTAGCTGCCTGGCCCATAGTGCTTCCCATAATGCTGTCATGCTGAAATGCACAAGCTGAATTGAATATACTGCATTGTGTTTCTAAGTATGATACTTAGTTTCTGAAGAAAACTCATCTGTTACAATGATAACCAAGATGACAGATTTTACAGCTGGCATGCCTGTAACTCCCTTTTGTCAGCTGTAAACATTTGGCTTCTCCTGTCAAGGCAAGTTGTCCTCCAGCTTCCACTGAAAATGTCATTCTAGTCTTAAGGCTACTTTTATTTTTATTTATTTAAAATTGTATTTATTTTCTTTCAGATTTAGACTATACATTCTTGTGCTCTTGTATAATTGCTGGAAAATTTTTTGTAACTTTGATAAGACAAACACAGCAGCTTTCAAGGTCCAGGTCTGGCAAATGGGAGAAGGACTAGGCTAGACATTGGCTTGTGCTATAACAACAGATGTATTTGTGCCATCCAGTCTTTAATTTATACACACCAAAAAAGAAAAAAAGACTTGGCTTCAAGCCTTAGTGATTTTATTCAGGTTTTTTTTTTTTTTCTTTCTGGATGCAAAGCCTTATTTATTCTATATATTCAATTACTGGCCAGTGTCTGGAGCTGCTCTTGAACTGGGAGTAGATGAATGCAGTAGTTATTCCTCTCTTCCTTTCATCCCTTAAAATGAGGTTAGAGATAGGATGGCACTCACTCTTTGCCATAATAAAAATATAATCCATAAAAGCAAACCTGGCTGAGCTATTTTTTTCTGTAATGGCCTGCTATCCATAGCATGTCATATGCCTTTGCCTGCCATAATCCTGCAGTCTCTGCATGAATGGTGCTCTTAAGGCTCAGTCTCTCATAAATGAATTTCTGTGTGCTTTTGGACATGTGAGAGCCTTAAGTCTTGGGCCTCTCAGTGTAGAAACTGACAGGGTGTGGTTTTTTTGGGTTTTGGGTGTTTTTTTTTTTTGTTTTGTTTTTTGTTTTCTGCTTCAACATGTTGTTTAGCCTTCCCATAATAAACAATTTCCACTTAAGGTCCAAGGAGCATAATCTCTTAACTGACTGGAAAACCTAAAACTGCAGGAACAACCAGTAGCAGGGGAAAAGCTTGTAGTAAGAGGAGCAAAGTCTGTGGCTGCATCACTGTTTTGCTGTTCTCACTCCAGTAGTGAGTCTAGTAATCACCCTGATCTGTACATCCATAGGGGATATAGGAGTTACCTGTTTTAAAGCAA